ATCCCGCTCAATTACGACGAAGGTGTCGTCCACATATCGAGCCCAGAATTTCGGTCTGTGTTGTAGTACCACAAAGCGCTTCAGTTGACTGTACTAATAAATGACTATAACATATGCCACCGTTTTGTTAAGTCCTACTCGAACCACCATTTCTTAGATTGGTCTCACATCTTCATTTGACCACCGTTAATCGCCCTGGTATACTAACTATTTTCGTCGGATGATAGGCAGGCGTTGCTGGCCAGTTCGCGGACGACTAGAAAAATCGCCTCCCTTCTTCAACTTGCCAAATAAGTTTCTAAAAACGAAAACGGGCACTCCAAACTGAGAGTGAGCAGCGTCTCTCCATTGCCGCGCAAATTTTGACGGATCTTCTTGCTTATTGTACTTTTTGATCGCATGTTCTTGTGTCCATAAGTTTTGATCAGCTCCCCAAAAACTTTTGTCACCGAATTTTTGCGGCATTTCTCCCCAAAACGGGTAAGCAGAACTTCCCGGAATAGAGTTGCTGCCACCCCAGATGACTGCTGAATAACAGTGTAGATCACTACTTCTAGTTAGGTGGCAAGATATGCAGAATCAACCTTGGCAGTCCAGAGAAATGCATGTAGCCCTTTCCGTAAGATAGGAACCATTTCTGTGACAGATGTGGAGAGGCATACGAGAAACAGCTTCATCTAGCCTAGTATGCCTGTCATGAACTGTTCTTGGGTATGGCTGCTGTGCCAAGCACGGCCTCATGGAACTCTAGATGGGGGGTGGGCGCAACAGCGGAGCGAAGTAGCTAGCAGGATTATGCTTTTGGCGGAGACCGTCAGTGTGTTTTGTTTAGAGGCACGTACATTGACCGTAGTCGTGCCCGACCTAGTTGATCTAGATGTTATCGTCTAGCTTACTTCTTCGCGACACTTTCTGACAAGCTACTGAAGGTCAAAAGCCATCCAAATGTATCGAAGAACCGGGACTGATCGTACATTAGCATGGGCCCTCTTTCACAACATCCAAAATCGGACAACTCACGGCACCGCGCGGTCACCTCCTTATTTGTTACAGCAAATGTATAGTGAAGCGTCTGAATATCTGCGTATGTGTAGTCAACATC